ATTTTCTTACTATTCCAACTGTTATTTATTTGATACGTAGGCATGGTTCCCGACAATAGAAGAAAATTCTCCTATACTAGTTTTCTTTAAGTACTTTAATCCTGATACACAATCTCTTGAGTATGTGATTTGAACTTTATTTCATCAATTCATTTAATATGAGAATTAATTTCCTATGACTATGTAAACAGAGGAGTGTGTTATTTATACTTTCAAAAGTTTGATAAAGTTGGTGATATCATTCCAATTCTTTGCAAGAAAAAGAACTTTCCATCGCACACGCACTTGAAAATATACGAAGTACGATGTATTTTACATGTATAATAGTATTTGGTTGATCGTAATAACCTATTTATTTTATTAAAATACAGGAAATAACACAAAACATTATTGCAGAAAAGAACCCCGAATTGACTTTTCAACAATCTGAGATACAAGATGGTGATATAATTTGCTTCCAAAAAGCTTTAACAGAACAAGAGTAAATTATTTATTAACCTTATCTTGTTTCGTGTTTCAATTCATTTTTTTTAAAAAAAAAACTTCTGATTCAATTTAGAGTACAAGAACATACTACTGCAGGTCGTATTTATGATATTCCTACATTCTATGAGTTATTAGTTATGCGTGTCGTTGTCCAATTTAAGCCAAAAAACAAAGACCATAAACAAGGACCCGAATTTGAGTTAATTTAAATAAAAATTATACATATGATGAAGTACATAAGAATTATTTTTCACATAATTACGAATTGTAGAGTGAGGATGTATTATAATGAAGTTTCAGATAGAAATTCATATGAATGTCATGCTCACCGTAATGTATTGTATTAATTTAATAACTTATTTAATTAATATGTATTTATTTTTTCTTCTTTATACTTTATAGGTGGCTAAACGCGTTGCTATTTTTTTAAAAGCGGATCCTCTAACATTACGATTTACAACGGCACATCCAACTACTGGTACATACAAAACTGTAATTAAAAGTACGACCACGCAGACATTGTCAGAAATGCTTCAAACAAACTATCCACTTAATTCAGCAAACCTTTTGTATTATGAGATGCTTGACATTAGTATTATATATAGAGGATAATAGTATACAGTCAAACCCCTCAATAGTCACACCTTCGGGATACAAAAAACTGTGATTGTAAAGAGGTATAACTAATATAGAGGTATTTTCTATATAGTTATAAATAATTGGTAAAAATAAATTTGTAATTATGCCAATTTTGTGACTATAGAGGAGGTGACTATAGAGGGGTTTGACTGTACTCGTTTTTTGATTTTTATTTTGAAAATTTTAAGTTACAGATAAATATCATTACACGCATTCAATAGATATTATTCTATCGGATTATGGATTGACAGATGAGTTTCTAGGTCTTAATCATATGGACAAAACGGGACATGTAGGAAAGTAGGGAGTTAAAAGGCGATATATTAGTGGATCATATAATTTAGTACTATCAACTTTCTCTAAATATATGGCTTCTATATTGTACTTAAAAATTCTTCAACTTTAAAGCTCTTTTTGCTTCAATATGTATAGTGTTACGGGGTGAATCGTACGTTTAATTAGTTTGTACACGAAAGTATCGAATTTATATTATATAAGGCATTCGCCAGAGGCGTGACGTTGGTGATTTGATATTAATAATTTATTTAAAGGAGTTATTAGAAAGTTTATTAAATGTATAATGTATTAAATATTGGAATCCCGTAGGATATCTTTTCAGAAGGGCGAAATGCTAGAGTTTTTATAGCTTTTAGCGAATGTAAAGGATTCAAGGGCTTAGGGATGACTCACATATTACATCGTTAACGAATTTAAGGGAACTATTTCTAAGCTAAGGGGCTTACAATGATAATTTACAATATTATTATTAGAACAAGAAGGGCTTTGCTTCTCAATACAATTATTTGCTTTTCAGCCACTTCAACTATATCCTAATCTTGATACTCGGTCTTCTTCTGTTTCTTCTTATGCATTTCTTGTTCTTTGGATTTCGCATTGGTTATTGTTTTATCTTTATTTGGCTGATAAGCCTCAACTGATAAACCAGTATTTCTTGAATTATTGTTTCAATCATGGGTTTGCTGTGCCTAATCTTGTAGATCTATCATTTTAGCCTGTGACATTCGCCCACACCTATTTTATGGGTACCACACATAAATATCTTAGTTAATTAATAAAATATATAAGCAAAGAAGAAAAGAAATTACTACAGGCTGGCACATAATCATAGCCTCTAGGAGGCAGAGTTTACTATCCACCAGCTGGTATTGAACTCACAACTGCTGGCAACAGTCATACACCTTTACTATTTTACTATAGTAGGTATAATTATAAAATTTGTTTGTTGTACAGTTTATAAACCTAATTTTTCAATGTAATTGTCCAATAAAATTAGAAATTTTTATATGATTTGAATTTAAGGTTTAAGGGGTAAGCTTAAAAAAAATTTTTGAAGAAAACTTTAGAACGAAAAAGAAAAAGAAAAAAAATAAAGAATAAAAATAGTTCATCATTATAAAAATCGAAACAAAAAGTTACGTCAGTCAAAGGAGAAGATCAAGAGACAAAGGTAATAAATCAATAAATATATATATATATATAAAATAAAAGTAATAAAAAAAATAGAAGTAATAATAATAATTTTATATTTGTAAAGAAGAGCCAGAGGATAATTGGTAACAAGATTTTGGATATAATAAGAATAATATTAATAATAATAATAACAATAAATATTTTATATTTTTAAAGAGAAGGTGTGGATCAGTTATTTAGAAGAGAAGAATGCAGATTTAGAGCAGATGGTTAAACTTTTTGAGAATTATAAGGATTTATGGTAGGCAAGATATCAGCAGAGTAAGTTAGAACTTGGAGAGATGATAAATAGATTGTTGCAAGAACAGAGAGAGATGAGAGAACCTCCAGTAGTAAGTAGAAGAGATGGTAAGTAGAAGAAGAGATATGAGGAATTGTCAAGCAAAGTTGAGAGAAGAGAGGAATTAGAGAAGGAGTTGAGTACGAATTTTTTAAGGTTGAGAAGAGTTTTTCATTTACAAGAAAATTTGAATAAAGTTTGTAAAAAAAGAAATAAGATGAAGAGGGATAAAGATAAGTTGATGAAGGAGTTAGAGGTAGAAAAGAGGAAGACAAATAGATTAAAGACATTAGAAGAAGTTGGAGTAGCAGCAAAAAAAGCAGAAGTGAAGAAAAAACAGGCTGATTTGAAGAAACAAAGACAGGTGTTGATAAGTAATTATATTTTTTATCAATGTAAAATACAAAAGATATTAATATAAGTTTTTTTTTTTTGTATTAGAGTTTCACAATATATAATTAAATAGGGATGAGACATATAGAAAAAATATAAAGGAGATAGAGGAAGATGACTTTGAAGAGATAGAAGTAGACATTATGAGATTGAGTTTGATGATTCTATAACCATATGAGACTCTGAGAATGAAGAAAGGTAAAAAAAATTTTTTTTTTTTTTAAACTTTATATATATATATATTTAGACCAAATAATAGAGAGAAAGAAAAAGGTGTTGCTGAAGGAGGAGTAGTAGTTAGGAAAGAAGAAGACATAGACTTGGATTTTGAAGGGGAGGAGCGAGTTAACTAGGACGAATTAGTTTTGGATGATACTAAGGATAGAAATAGTAGCTGTGGTCTGGGTTATAGAAGGTTATAGAGGTTTATGAATATAGTTTTTGTTACAGCAGATGTTAATAAAATGTTTTTAAAAAAAAATTTGCTATAACCTTTCTATACTACTTCTCTGTTTTATGTAATTCTTTCAGAATCACACCTTTATAATCAAATTTGATATGATTCAAATCTTAACTATTTATTCCTTTGTTGTATAATAATTTTTTTAGCAACTTTTCTTAATTAACTTCTTGCTATTTCCAAAATGTTTCAAGAATAATGATTTTTGTATCTGAATTTACTATAATTCTTTAATTCATAAATAGTTTCTTATTTATTTTTATTGAATTACAAATTTAAGTACAATGTATCTCCTAATCTTTCATCATATGATATTCTGTAGATAATCTTTCATCCCAGCTTCATCCTTGTTTTCCAACTTGAGTTCTAAGTGGTAATCAGTTATACAGAATATAAAAGATTGCTTTTGGCTAGTCAACAATCTCTGTTTCTTATTATCTTGGTAGTTCTTTATGGATACCACATGTAGTTAGTCCAATAAAAGGAATAGCATCTATATACTGATTTGATAATTGAATATAGCGTTTAGAAGTATCTTCAGACACAATCTATTACATATTTTTATAGCTAACATTTTCCCATATTCAAAGTTAAAATGAGGGGTTTCCCCATAAACATCTCAGCTATAATAAAACATCTTTTTTTAAATCTAAATTATCATTTTTTCTAGATAATCCTAGGTTTCTCCAATTAACCACATTAAACTTTAAAAATAGGAAATTATGAAGACATCTTCTACTAATCTAAATCCTGTGTAATTTACAACTCTTTTTGGAAATTCTTTCATGAACCAGACAAGGTTTTTCAGAGCAACTATATATGGGATATATAACTATAATTAACAGTATATATAATCATTCTTAACCACGTTGTAGAAAATACAGAACCAGATCCTCCTTTACTAATTATTTGAACATTAACTAATCTATTAGAAGAAATCTATTCTATTATGTTATTGTAATTCTTAGCTTTAAGTTGCAATACAATTATCGACTTTCTTATTTCTACCTGTCTATCCTTGTGTATCTTCTAAAAGTCACATATTTGACTTAATTCTTTAAATATGTTATATTATTTGCAATTTGCACAAATTTCATTATTTATAATAGAATTGGTTTATTAATTTTCTTTGATAATAACATTATAGGCTTTGGTAAAGTATATTAAAGTCTATTGTTTATGATAACTATAATAACATTATAATGTATTATTATTATAAAAAGGTAATTTTAACTAATTCATACCCTTTTTTGTTTTTTATCTTCTTTCAAATTTTCCTTATCTAGAATAGTATTGTTTTATTAACTTTCTATTTATAGATATCTTTATTATATTTTTTTCGATAGTACGTAGCTTATATATGCCCTTTTGAAGCACCTTATAGATGACGAAAAGCCTTTTCCACTTCAGATAGAGTTTATAGCTTTTCGAATATTGTTGGGACACCATATATACTAATACTTGGTTTTCTTTCTTTAATTCTTCTAGGTGTAGTAATCAATAATCATGCTTCTTTTTAACAATTTCTTGAGCCCTTTCGACCTTTTTAACAACCTTATAGCAAACTCATGATACAACTTCAATCAAATCGAAAAGTCTCTGTAAAAATGTCTCTTCTAATATTTTTTCAGTTTCACTAGAATGAAGTGGAAATCTTGCTTTCCTGCTATAGACTAAAAAGAAGGGAGTCATTTTGGTCATATTTTGTTTGGCCGTCCTATAGGCGAATAATATTGAAGGTATTAAAGAGTCATATTCTCTTACGTTAGTCACAAGTTTAGAAATAGATTCACAAAGCATTTTATTAAAATGCTCTACTAATCTATTTGTTTAGGGATGATAGGGTGTCGAATAATGGTGATTTATGGTGAATTTCTTTAAAAATTCATCTATTAACTTATTACGGAAATGTGTTCTCCTATTCAAAAATAGATATTGTAGACAACCGTGTCAATATACGATATCTTCATATACAAAATCAGCAACTATATATTCTTTGTAGTTTTGTCCTTCTGTGCTAATACTATATCTAATCCCACTCTGGAGGCATCGATATGTAAATAAAATATTTTCTTAAAGTCAGGATACTTTAAGATAGATACCATTATAAGGTGTCTTTTTAACCTTTTGAATACGATTTGTTGGTCTTTAGTCTATTTATAGAGAATATCTTTTTCTAGTTGCTTATGGAGCAGCTAGGCTATCATTATAAAACCTTTAATGAAGTGGCGATAATATGATGCTAACCTGATAAATTCTCTTAATTGCCGAAGATTTGCTGATATAGGAAAATTTTTTACTTTTTTTACCTTGGAATCATTAGGCTTCACCGTCTTCTTATTTATTATACTACCCAGATAATTTATCTTGGATCTGAAAAAGATATATTTTTTAGGTTTAGTTTCAAGCCCATATGATATAGTTTATTAAAAACAATTTTGAGATGTACTAGATGTTTTTTGAATATATTTGAGTAAATGTTAATATCATCCAGATATACTATGATGAAGTTTTTAATACAATCTCTTAGCACTGTATCCATTAGCTTTTAAAAAGTCTTTGACGTATTACAAAGGCCGAACAGTATAACCTTGAATATGTAAATACCATATTTTGTAATGAACATCATTTTTTCTAGATCTGCTTTATTTATACCGATCTGTCAATATCTACTTAGTAGATCTGAGTAGAAAACAATCACACTGATCTGAAGGTATCCAAAAGATTGGTAATATGGGAAAGTAGTATGTATCCTTTTTAGTAACAAAATTTAGTTTCTGATAATCTATGCAAAAGCATAGTTTACCATTTTTCTTTGGTACTATGACTACTAGAGAAGCCCAAAGGCTGTTTATTTCTATTATTAGTCCTTGTTCTTTTAATTTATTTATTTCTTTTCTTATAAATTCATTTTTTTCATAAGCAGCCCGATAGTATTTTTGTTTAATCAGAGCAGTATCACCGGTATTAATACTATGAGTGATGGCATTAGTGCGATCTAAGCCTTCAAAACCTTGAGCAAATATCTCTATTTCAGTTAGAAAAAATGTTTGGGTTTCTAACTGTTGGGGTGGAGTTATTTCATTATTGTCGATCATTTCTTGAATTTTTTCCTCTATCGACTTTTCTTTTTCCTTCTTTTCGTTCTTTCGGGTGGATACTTCTTCAATATTCATAAAGTATAATGCGGAACTTTCTGCACTATTTAAGAGTCAACTTTCAATATTTTCTTCATCGAATTCTTCTTCCTCATATTTAAATTTGTTGAAAGTATCCTCTCTCTCACTATAAATATTGTCATCTTCGTATAGAATGAGACCTTCAATTCTACTATTGAAGATTGGAACCTCTGCTGATCTATCAGCATACTATAAATATAACCCTTGCTCATCAAAATGGATATGAGCCTTTGTTTTTTGAAACTAATTAGTTTCTAGTAGTAGAGTGTTATCCTGTGATTCTATTACATATAAAGTAGTGGGTATTACTATATCTTTGATTATAATTTTTACATCCTTAATTTTTCCTAATATCTTTGCCTTTGCTCTGGTAGCTATTACTACAGTGGTACAAGCTTTATCATTGATATTCAAACTAATTTTATCTAATAATTGGTTTGATATGATGCTTATTGCGGCACCCGAGTCTAAGATAGCTAGTACCGAATTATTGCGAATCACAATATCAGACTGCAGTTGTGCAGTATAGTTCTCTAATAAAGTTGGTTTCTTTCGACATAGAGGGTGTTTCAGTATTTTTGCTAAGTTCCTTCTTTGATTAGAGTATTGAAGTATCTGCTTTACTGTTGCACTAGCAGGTAAGGATAAAATATCATCTGCTACATTATACAGTTTTAATGAGTTAATCATTGAAGGCCCACACTTTCTTTTTTGTTTGTTTACAGAAAGTAGATTTTGTGTAGTGTGGGGATTTTCAACCTCTGTATCAGGTTTTTCTAATGCTTCTTCCTTGGGTTGAACTCTAGCCGTTTTTCATAATCTCTTTTTCTATTTTGGGTTCACTAAATGTTTGGCTATTTTCTTTGGGATAAGTTTATTATTAACCATATATAATTCCCTACTATATTTATTGTCTAATTCACAAAAACTAATAGTTTTTGTTTTATTATAATTTCCTTCATTCTTTTTCTGATCTCTATAAGTGTATCCTTTTTCAGACATACATTTTCTAACAAGATGACCTACCTTCCCACATTTACCACATTTAAGTTCTTTATTTCTTTCTTACTTATATCTATTTTAGGGACGTTCTCTATAAAATTTTCCTGTGGATGATAGGTTTTTGTATTCTTTAGTTGAGCAGTTAAGGTTGCATAATTTAATGCTAAATCTTCAATCCTTTTCTTAATATCACTTAACTTACTTCCTACTTGCTGCTGTGGTTTTTCATGTTTCGATAGTCATTGGCCATAGTAACCGCCAGCTTCAACTTGTTTTGCTGCAGCTATTGCTTCAGATAAATTTTTAGGACCGCAATAGTTACAAAAATAGCATTATTGCCCTTTAACCTGTTTAAGAATATTCTTATGATATACCTATCAGAGAATCCATTATTTGTATTAACTTTACTAAGTAATTTTTTAAACTTAGTAGCATAGGTATCCAATTTCTCAAATTATTTCTGACACAACTCATACAACTCAATTTGCCAATGATGTTGACGTTCTTTGAGCACAAATTCTTCTATGAACAAATGATAAAAACTTTTACTTCGTTCTCTCATATTTCCATCTATTGCATTCCAATATTCAATGTCTGCTTTATTTTCTTTATACTACTCAGCAGCCATTTCCTTTAGATATCCTGATGCGATTTGAATTCTTTGATCTTTAGTCCAATTATTGGCTTCGGATGCTCTTTCAAAATTGTCAAACCATTCGAAAAGATCTTCATCATTGGTACCATAAAAGAACTTTACTCTTACAAAATTATTTTCTTTAGGTGCCTTTGATTCTTTTTTACTAACAGATTTTACCATGATCTTCATGAACCGTTTAAACTGTTCGTTGTTCATTTTTGTTTTACAATTCGTTTATTTTATAAAATTAGAATCTCACAGTCACCACTAAATGTTATGGGGTGAATCGTACGTTTAATTAGTTTGTACACGAAAGTATCAAATTTATATTACATAAGGCATTCACCAGAGGCGTGACATTGGTGATTTGATATTAATAATTTATTTAAAGGAGTTATTAGAAAGTTTATTAAATGTATAATGTATTAAATATTGGAATCCCGTAGGATATCTTTTCAGAAGGGCGAAATGCTAGAGTTTTTATAGCTTTTAGCGAATGTAAAGGATTCAAGGGCTTAGGGATGACTCACATATTACATCGTTAACGAATTTAAGGGAACTATTTCTAAGCTAAGGGGCTTACAATGATAATTTACAATATTATTATTAGAACAAGAAGGGCTTTGCTTCTCAATACAATTATTCGCTTTTCAGCCACTTCAACTATATCCTAATCTTGATACTCGGTCTTCTTCTGTTTCTTCTTACGTGTTTCTTGTTCTTCAGATTTTGCGTTGGTTATTGTTTTATCTTTATTCGGCCGATAAGCCTCAACCGATAAACCAGTATTTCTTGAATTATTGTTTCAATCACGGGTTTGCTGTGCCTAATCTTGTAGATCTATCATTTTAGCCTGTGACAATAGCAACACGAATTGGTTTTCTTTCTAAATGCAATTTCTTTCAAGATTACACTCTATTCATATTAAAATATTCAAAGACCTAACAAGTTGCACTTAATCGGAATCGACCATGTTTTTGCAAATCTTTAAACCATTGAGATAGAAGCCATTGTTCATTGAGAATTTGCTTTATTAACCAGAAACTACACATAGTGACTGTTATAGTTTTATAATTATTCATTTAATAATCTATATACAAAGACCCACACAACAAAAAGGAGTAATAGGCCAAAAAAAGTTTTTTAAAAAACAAGTTCACATGTGACGTTTAACAAAGTACATTGATTTAATCTAAGTTTAATTGCATTACGTTTATGAAATGACTCCATTTTATAATCAATTGACTAATAATTTTTATTTTTTAAAAATCTATACTAATTGCAAAACGACTTATTTCATAATTTGAAAATAACACATTTCAATAACACATGACAATTAATTATTGAGAAACGATGCAAACATACGTATACATATCATATGTATATTATTGATTCCAAATTGTAATATAAATTAAGTCTAGTCCCACATTAACCAAGTGCTTTATCTATGATACTGTCTCCTCAACCTCTGAGCAATTCTAACAATTTTAGTGCTGCTCTCCCAAATAAGGAAATTTTAAACCAGTTCGGTAATATTGGTCCATTTAATGCATGTAATAAGTGGCTTGGTGATTTTGTTCGACCAAAGGTCAATGCAACCAATACTGATACGTAGAAAGATGGGCTAATATTAGTATGCATAACGTCATACGTTTTTATTTTCTTTAGAAATATGGATATTTATTTATTATACGTATTGAGAGGTTTCTGAATAAATGATTTGGCATCTGATTTAAGATAAAATAAGTGACGTATTTACGTCAAAATAAAATAAGTGACGTATTTACGTCAAAATAAAATAAGTGACGTATTTACGTCAAAATAAAATAAGTGACGTATTTATGTCAAAATACGGGATCCATAAATTCTATATTTTTTTAAAAAAGTATAAACTCATTAACATAATTGTTTAACGGTAGATATTTATCAAAAAAAAGTTAATTTTATTACCGAATGCACCTATTTAATTTCTTGATTCGAATTTAATTTCTTGATTCGAACTTTATAATAGAATCAGGATCTTTTAAGCTCACACTTACTTTCGAAATAAGTTAATTCTGATCTTTATTTTTGGAAAATAACATAATTCATATTTAGGGAATACCACAAAATGAAATTAAATTCGGTGCTAATAATAAAGTTATTCGAATATTTCATTTTACTAAGAAGCCGTTACGTGCGAATGGAATTTCATTTAAATTTGTTATTAAAGATATTAAACATCATTTCATGTGATTACTTGTATTCATGCTTGTTATGATTTTATGTTTTATACAATCAAAGTGTGCGGTATCATTGATATGTGTGTATAACTAGCTTATATACACACACATCCATCCGCACTATAATTGGCATTTGGTCAGGAACAATTTCGGTAAATAGAAAGTCCAAAGTCTGATTTCCCTTGGCGCCACATAGTTGTTATTAATTTCCCCTATCATTGTGGTTTTTAACGATAAATGAATACTAAATTATATGTATGGCAAAAAATTCGACAAAAAACAAACATTTAAAAAGAGAACAAGAATAAACAAAAGGAAAACGATTAGAATTTTAACATTAACAATATTTAATAATTAATTATCATTCGCTATACGTACGCAGCACACAAGAAACATTTTGTCATAAACTTGGAAAGAATTTATTGTCACAATAAACTACCATTTAGGATTCACATAGAATTCGTGTTACAAGCCACAGAAGTACACATATGCAATGAAATGTCCTTCAATGAAATTTCCAAAATTGCAATGTGGTGTAACCATTATGGTTATTTTAAAGATTGACTAAGCTGTAAATCAAAATATAGTAATTACTTTTTAGCATATCTAAAAGTTCACAATTTCTCTCATTTAACTTTATACAAAATTTCTTAAAATAACTAACATGATTAAAGATTGTATGTTTTATAGTATTATAATCAGTATAATTAGTTCATAATAAGGCTTGAAAAAAATCTTTTAACTATAATTACATTACGATGTTAACGTTTTATTGTTATAATTTAATAAATTGCAGACACAACCATTGCAAATATGCCACATCTTGGCAATCACTATGAAATTGAGGATTATCAAGAATATACGTGGCAAATCACAAATTGGGCAGGTTTAGAAAAGAGAATAACAGGTCCTGAATTTGAAGCTGGAGGTTGGAAATGGTAGGTTCACTTAAATACATAACTTGAATATAATTTCATTGTTCTAATTATATTATACTTAAATTATAGGCGCATTTTACTTTTTCCTTATGAAAACAAAAACTCAGAAGTTGTTTCAATTTATCTGGATTTGGCTGATATAAAAGAAGTACCCACCAATTGGCATTGCTGTGTGCAATTTGCTTTGGCATTATGGAACCCAGAAGACCCAACATCCTGTGTTGTTCATTGTACGTATTAAATTATTTGTCATTTGATAATCCATGCTACTAATAAACTAATTTTTTAATTATAGATTCGCATCATCGTTTCACTGCTGAAGAACCAAATTGGGGATTTACGCGATTTTACGAACAAAATAAGTTATTTGTCCCATCAGATAATCGTCCTCGTCCGTTAATAGAAAATGATGCCTGTAATATTGCAACTTTTGTTCGCATTATAAAGGACCCAACTGGTGTATTATGGCATAACTTTAAAAAGTATCCTATCATCATTTAAAAATTAAATTATGACTTTACATTTATTTTCATGTAAACTTTTTTATATAGTTATGATTCAAAAAAAGTGACTGGATACGTTAGCTTAAAAAATCAAGGAGCAACAAGTTATTTAAATGTCGAGTTGCAATTATTATATAGCATAAAGTATTTTCGTAAGGTTAGCGTTTCTATTTAATCTAAAAATGAACCTTTTTTTACAACAAATCTAATAATATCCTTTTTTTTGATTATAGGCAATATATCAAATCTCCACAGAAGATGACGAACCAGTCAGAAGCATTCCTTTGGCCATGCAAAGTATTTTTTATCAATTACAAGTATCAGATACTCCAGTTGAAACAACAGCATTAACGAGAT